GCAAATCATGCTAAGCAGTAATATCAATCCTCGAAGGATTTTACAAATCGGCACAAGGCCCTACACATGGCATCAATCCCCATAATATCAATGAAGTATGTGTATCAATCACCAGTATAGTATAAACATCATACGGGATGGACCAAGTCACAATCCCCAATAGTATCTGACCCCGCACTCACCATGGAGTGTGTGTCACGCCTCAATTGAAACATGAATAAGCATTTAACGGGGAATACGAGACGTAAATATAGGAAACGACGGTTCCGGTCGCTACACTAAATAACAAAGGGAAGCAGTTCAAGTTCCGAGGAAAAGCAACGCAAGTGTTGGTAATCAGGAGCCCACTTGGAGATCAAAGGGAAAGCAACAAGTTTCGAAGGAAGACAGGTCGAGTATTGGAAATCAGGCGCCTACTTGGAGAATAAGAGAATTCACTTCAGAATACAATTCAAGTCAGAAACAAAAGAAGCTCGCGGCAAGAATGCGAGTCAACAGTCCGAGGTGATCAACAGAAGTTAGTCACAATAAAGAAAAAAAAAGAGAAAGGCAAGAAGTTAATCCAAATGCAGAAGTTGATGAAAGATGTGGGCTACTCAAGACATGGCCAAGGTACAAGCACTGCATGCCTGGTCTTGATCCGAAAAGCTGAAGAAGGATGAACTAGCACCTGCAACTAGCAAGCGTCAAGGTTCAAATCTAAAGTCTTCATGAAGAATCACTCAAGACTCAAGATCAAGTTTCAGAAGACTTATAGATAGGAATCTTGGAACTTGTAGTTGATAGGCTTAGCTAGTCTTTTTCATATTTTGATTTTTGATGTAACATCAGGATCGCGGACCGGAACCTCGACGGAACGACACCTCGACCGGCTCTCCACCTCAGTATACTCCATTATCTCACTCACCTCTGAACTACATGTGGCCTGATTCCTTTATAGCCAAGGATATGTAGGCAGCTCAGATACCAGGGCTCGGTCACATTCCCTTTTCTCTTAGTTTTAGTCTCTTCAAATAAGGGTCGGGTCAAAAAATCTGTCTAGTCTTTCTTTATCTGAAAATACTTCGTATTTCCAGTCAAAGAGGGGCAGCTGTAGACATGTGATTTTTGACCCTCCCCAAGATTTTTTATATTTTAGCATGTAAATATTTAATTTAGGCCTAATATAGCTATTTCAACTATTTTTGACTCCTTTACTTTATTTTTCGTCGCAAAAAAAATGAAAATTACAAAAATATTTTAGCTTACATATCTTTCATAAATTTAAATAAAAAATATACAAAAATAGTACCTTATTTTTATCTTTACATAATCTTCAAAATACAAAAATATATATAATAGTTTCATGTTTTAATATAGCTTAGTTTAATTAATTAAAATTAGTTTTTGCATTGTGTAGTATTTTTATCTTTTATTAAATGGAGTTAACTAAGGTGTTAGACCACAATTTTAGGAGTTTTAGAGCCCAATTTCTGGCCCAATTCAGATTAACCCATTAAGTCCAATACCAAATACCCATCAAGCTAACCCTAGGAACCCTTCTAGACTCTTCTTGGGAACAAAAAAAAATAAAAAGACCCTAAGGACCTAAGAGCAAAAAAGAACCTAGACCTAGACCTATACAATATAGGCAACGCCTAAAATCCAAAAAGGGGGCTGGAAAATCACGCTAGACCAAGACACTCTGCAAAAATCTGATCCGCCATTTTCAGCAGACCAAAACGACCCCCTCCCCTGATGTTCATCTTCTTCGTATCCCCCACCCCCTGAAACCAACGACCACCTAACGCCTATGTGCTAAAAACCTATCCTTCTCTTCAGAAGCTACAACGGCAACCATAAACATACGACCCAAAGCCATCCCTCCTCACCATCAAGAACACCCAGATACAAACACACACAAAGATAGATATAGGAACGGACAGAAGCAACTGAGATCGAAATTTTGTCATTCGAAAACTTCAATTGAGATCACTTCCCAAAAGTTGTTGAAGTCGAAAATTTGTTGTTGTTGATTGTTGAACTCATTGCTGAGTTCAGTCCGATCTGGTTTCAGTCATCGTTGAAGAGTCGAGTTTGTTTCGAAGAGGTTTGGTCGAGTTTCGCCAGGATTCCGGCGAAGCATTTTGTTTTTCTGTTCGAGTTTTCTAGTTCCGTTCGAGTTGCCGGTGAGGTACCAGCCGTCACATCTCTGTTCGATTCCTTGTCTGTTAGTCGAGCTTCAAAGCAGTCTCGTGAAGTTTTCCGTTCATTAATTTTGAAAGAAGTATTTAAGACTCTGCAAAGTTTCATTCTCTTATACTCTTAAACAAATTTTGTAGCTTCGATTAGCCTTAACAGTTTTTTTCGTTGAGTTACTTGCTTAACTGTGTTGATGTCAGGTGAAGGAAACATGTTGGACCCGTTAACTTAGATATTTTATGGGCGTTAATTTGCTGATCATGAATGAGGACCTTAATGAAAATGTTTTCAAGGTTGACGGGCCAGAGTCCACGTTTGGTTTGCTGTTTTCATGTCATCTCTGTATCTCCTATTTCATTTCGATAATGAATTTGTCAATTAAACCTTATGTTGCATTTCTTGGTTAATTTGTTTGGAATCTGATTGTCTGCCTCAATAACGTTTTAGTATAAGTGGCATTTTTTTACATGTAGTTAGACACATAATTCTAAAATAGTGGATCTTTTGTGAGAAATTGTAAATATTTTTCTAGTACTTAGTGATAAAATTGATCTCGTAGCAATCCTTCATATGGAATCCTACACTTTTTCCACAACCATTTCGACCGTAGTTTTCTTTAGGCACGTTTAATTAAATAAATTATCATAGCTACGGGTACGGTTCCTGTGATGTAATTGTGAGGCCTAATTTCTAAAATTCAGGGGTGCATATAATTGAAACAAGGTTAAATAGAACACGTCGTGAACCGCAGGTGCATTTCATGTGGTGTGGCTTGCGATAATGTTTTAAATAACCTTGAATTAACTCTTTAAACAAATAAAAGTGGTTTTAAAGTTAGAAATGCACATAGGTTTAAAAGTGTTTTAAAATTAGATAACTAAGCCAATAATAACAGTTGAGGGACCGTGTTAGAACCACGGAACTCGTGAATGCCTAACACCTTCTCCCGGGTTAACAAAATTCCTTACCCAGATTTCTGTGTTCGCGGACTGTAAAACAGAGTCAATCTTTTCCTCGATTTGGGATTCTAAACCGATGACTTGGGACACCATAAATTATCCCAAGTGGCGACTCTGAATTTTAATTAAATAATCCCGTTTCGATTATCACTTTAAGTTGGAAATAATCCCGTTTCGATTGTTTGCATCACGTGCATCTGACTTTGGGGACTCAACACAGGGATTGAGTCCGTCTAGGACAGGTGTACCCAAAGTATATAAGACCATCATGATGCATCTTATGTGCTACATGTTGCAATTTTCAAGGGTAAAAGGGTCATTTGGCGGACCAATGATAGTTGAGAGCAAATGAAAAAGAAAAAAAAAGGAAAAAAAAAGAGAGGGTGAAGTGTGAAAATAAAGCAAGTAGGGCCCAATTATGTTTTCTGTCACATTTTGTTAAGAAAAAAACATGAAAATTCAAAAAGGATTTTGCACTTTTTCATAATTTTTCGAAAATCAAAAAATCAAAAAAAGGGGGAAAAGAAAATCTAAAAAGAGTTTACATGTTTCATCATTTTTCAAAACAAAAGACAAACAATATATTTTCTCTAAATTAGCCGTTATTTTAATTCTCGCCCCTATCCAATCTTCCCGAATTACGCATACCTGATTCTCGTCTTTCGGGGCGGGATACGTAGGCAACCCACATAAGGTCCGGTCTTCCTAGTAAATCATAGGTTCTTGGTTTTGCGGGGTCTTAGCCATATTTTACACTTCTAGCTACCTTTTGGCCACATAAGTCGTTTTGCAAAAATAGCCTCAACCATGTCTTGCATGTGTCTAGTAGGGAATGGTATTGTCTCACGTAGTGTTGGTTTTAGTTTTCTCATACAGGTATGGATCCACTTACCGCTTACCGGAGTTTGAGCATGATAGAGCCCCAGGACCATCTAGTCAGGATCGCTCATTCAGGATTGGATTAAAAGAAGATTTTATGTTTTTTTTTATGTTTTGAGTCTGTTTTTCTTTTTATGTTGTCTTTTTACCTTCTAGTTTTGTATAATAATGTCGAGGTTTTTATTATTATTGTACTTTCTATTTTGCATTTGGAAAAAGTGTGTTATAAATTAAAAATCCAAAAAAAAGAGATTTTGCGTTATTATATTTCCATTAGAAGTCTTCTTTAGAATACTAATTCTAGGAATTAAAAAAAATTCATTTGAGGTGGTTTTTCCTTTAGGCAATTAATATCTAAAACTTAAAATAAAAATTATTTTGTATTCCTTTACTATATTAGGACCAAAATTCAAAAAAAGAGAATTTTCTTTTAGTACCTCTTCAAAAGTTTTTTTTAAGGTATTAATTCCAAAATCCAAATTTTTTTTCTTTTGAGGTGTTTCTTTGGGAAATTAATGAAAAATGGAAAAAAAATTCTTTTTATTTAAACTAGAACTTTAGGATATTGTACATAGAAAAATAAATATACTTTATCTTTTGTTTATCATTAGAATTTTTCCTTTAGGCAATCAAAATTAAAATCCAAAAATATTTTGTTTTATCTTTTTCATTGCTTGTTTCGAAATCTTGCGTCAGGATATCAAATGAAAATTCAAAATATTTTTCTGTGGTTTATTCTTTAGATTTCCTTCATAAAAAAAAGAATCAAAAATATATTTTTCTCTTTTAGGGTTTTCCCTTAATAATTTCTCATAGAGTATCTATTTCAAAAAGAAAGGAAAAAGAGAAAAAATGTATGCTCGAGTTTAGAATAGGATATAGAACATTAAGTCTAGAAAATTCAACAAAAAAAGTTTTGCTTCTTTTATTACCCTTTTCTCATTAGAATAGTCATTAAGGTAATGAATAAAAAAAGAGAAAAAAAGGAACGTTAGTTTGTTTGTTTTATTTCCGATCTTCCCGAACTACGCAAAGATCTGATTCATGTGGCATCATGATACGTAAGCAACCTACATAGGGTTCGATCGAATTTTTTTTTTATTTTATCAAAAGAAAAAGGAAAAAAAATAGAAAAGAAAAAAAAGGATGAAGTTGTGGGACGTGAGAAATAAGAGGAAGGAAAAGAGCGATAATCAGTAAAAAAAGAAAGGAAGGAAAATGAGCAAGCCAAGAAGTGTAAGCAAAGAAAGAAAAGAGAAGATTGAAATGAACAAAATTGGGATGATGCCAAGTGACCTTGTGACCCTAGAAGTCATTCTTGAACCGTTAATTGTTGCTAGGTGCATTGCACGTAATGTGATATTCTTAGTTGTTAAATGGCCTAACGCTAACATGATGACTTCACTTATCTTTGTTACCCTCATTCTATCAGAAGGGTGGTTGGATTGTGGTTCTTAAATTGGTAACTCTTCCATACAACGCAAGGTAGCCATGGCTAGCAAAGATTTGGGCACAAGAGTTGTTGACCCGTCGAGGGAGTTTGTGGAGTCGGAGTCTAAATTGAAAGGGGAGGTCCAAATGTTGAAATAGCAGATGACAGAAATGTATCAGTCTTGGATCAAGGGGCATCCTCCACCTTCATTCCCTGCTAACTACACTGAAAACCCTGCAACTATCTCACCACTATCACAAATCCAGATTCCCACTGCTGCTGATATCACCCCATAACCTTTTCACACTCTACCCGCCAAAACCACCTCGTGTCCCGCTCCTTTGGCCACTCATGCTCTTGTAGCTCCTCCTCCAGCTACTTTTCCTCGATCCTCTAACGAGGTTGTGTTCAAAGTCCCCGATGCCCAACACTATGCTCCAGAACCAACTTTCAAAGTCTCAGATCCATACTCCCACGCTCCTCATTTTGAGCCTCCTGGTGAAACTGAAAAGCCTGCTAAGACAGTGGGGCAAGATGAGATATCCAGGAAGGTGAAAATCTTAGAGTTGTATTTAAGAAACATGCAAGGGATAGGGAGCCAGAAGAGTGTGTCTTACAAAGACTTGTGTTTGTTTCCTGACGTCCAACTGCCTGCTGGGTTTAAAATGCCAAAGTTTGATTTTTATGACGGGTACGGAGATCCCGTGGGCAGAGAGGTTACTGCATTAAGATGAGAGGCGCCGGTGGGAAAGACAAATTATTGATAGCATATTTTAGTCAGAGTCTCGGTGGGGCAGCTCTATAGTGGTTCACCCGCCAAGACGTTAGCAAGTGGTACACATGGGATGATATGGCTCAGGCTTTTGCCCGACACTTTCAGTACAACATAGAAATTGTCCCGGATCGCATGTCCCTCACCAAGATGGAAAAGAAGCCTAATGAAAGCTTTAGAGAATACGGGCTCAGATGGAGAGAGCAAGCTGCTAGAGTCAATCCCCCGATAGAAGAAAAAGAGATGGTCGAGTACTTTCTCCAAGCTCAAGAGCCAACTTACTTTGGGCATTTAATCACGGTTATGGGTAGGCCTTTTAATGATGTGGTAAAAATGGGAGAAATGGTAGAAGATGGGTTGAAGTCGAGCAAGATCATGAGCTATTCTGCTTTAAAAGCAACAACACAAGCAATTCAGAACGACACAGGAAGCTTGCTGGGTCAGAAGGAACACGATGATGTTGCCATGATTGTTTCAGAGTCACGACATGGAAAGGGTCCGCCTCACCAACATACCCAGCCTCAACTCCACCCCAAACCTATCCCCGAGCTCCACATAATCCACCTCAGTATTATCCTTTGAACAATGTTCGGTCATCGGTCCAACCACCAGGTCACTCCCTATGGCGAGCGCCAGCACCGTATAATGCATTCTTGCCTTCACAACATTTTCGAGCACCCAACAACCCAAGAAAACAGGGGAGGGAGGGGAACAAAGGTAAAGAAATAGTTTCACACCAATTGGGGAGTCCTACACAAGCTTGTTTGAAAAGTTAAAGCATTCTGGCCTGATTGAGCCGCTCCTTGGCTATACTCCAGACTCATATGCAAAAGGCTTTGATCCTACTGTACGATGCATGTACCACTCTAATGTCCAAGGGCATAGCATTGATGATTGTCGTTCTTTGAAAAGAGAAATAGAAAGAATGATTCAAGAAGGGGTAATTGTGATCAATGACAGTGACAAGGAGCATGCGAATCCTCTTGGGAACTTATTGACTGAAGTTAATGATATTGAAGTTGTTAATGGTCTTGGCAATATTAATGTGGAACCCAGTGGCTAAGATGCCGTGCTTGGTAATTAGAAAGACGCTCTATCTCTTGGCTAGCTGGAGAGGAGTCTTGGTGGTTTATTTTGTTGTCATTTTTGTTGTCCAGGTTATTTTCAGGGTTGTAATCCGGATATTGTCTTGTGATTCAAACCCTTCATGCTTTTATTTGGCCTAGTTTATTTTTTCATAGTAACTCATTTAGTATTGTCTAGGTTTGTTCCAGGGTTGTAGCCCCAGTTTAGCTTGCATGTTTTGTTGTTAGGACCCCTTCACTGTTTGTCAAATGCAATTTTCTTTTTTTCGCTATTTCTAGTCATTCTTTGTTTAGTT